GGTCTCACTGAAATCAGAAATGAAAGTCTATGACTCACCTTATTGAATAAAGAACATTCCCATTCTTGAAAATTCTTAATAATTTGTTGTCTGTAGTTACTTCATGAAAGTTGGCACCCTTTTCATTGGCAAAGAACAAATCTGGTTTCCAAATAGAATCCAACATGGAAGGGTCTAGGTCTAAAGAGTCATCAGGATATTCACTGTACGCCAGACGGGGGTCATTCCATTTCTGACGAAGAAAAATATTCACTCTGTAATCCTATAAAATAAGAAAGAAACACAACAATGTTTTAAAAAGTTCAGAATCTTATGTACTATATTTTGGACTTCCCTGAATTTGGGCATAAGCACTGACATATTAATCCAAACCCTACAGTCTTTACTCACTGCTGCTTCCCCCAATCATTGTAGTTTTGAGGCGTTGTCCCATGCTTTGAGTGCACAATATGATTGTAAAGAAAAGAAAACCACAATTTTATCCTACTTATATTTTGTGGCTCCTTCTTGGTTTATTGTTACCTTCTTGATTTATCAGAATAAAATACTAGATTATTATTAGGTAGTTGGGGTAAAATATTATCTGCTTCGGTTGTAGAACCATTTCAGTAGCTACACAATAAAAGTGAATATATACACTTCTTTACAATGAACACATGTTTTCTTGAGTATAATATGCCTGTTCTAGGAAATAGGTGGTTTGGGAAAATTAAAAAGCAATTTTGGAATCATAAAAGAATAATTAAAGAACATTATTGCCTATAATCTGCTAAGCAGATTTGGATAATGAGATTTCCCAATTAGACTTTGCATTGTTAAGTTAAAAAGGGAGTCACTGAATCTAACAATTTCTTACTCTTAATTTCTGACCAATACATAAAACAACAAAGATTGATAGGTATATTGTGGTGCTTACTTCAACACAATAAATATAAACATTAACTTTAACTTTATAAATACAATTTTCCCCAAAGATTTTCTGAAATGAACAAGTAAATATATAGCTGCAATTATAAACTTGACTAAAGTGATCACTTTAATAAAGTTTTATTTCCATGGTAAATCCAAGGCTGGAGATATTTATGCAAACACAATGCCAGTTTTCATCTAATTTTTCTTTTCTCTGTGAAGAACAAAATTCCATAAAACCAAATCATCACAATGACACTTCCACAACATTAGATCCAACTCATTGCTTAGCTTGCAAGTAAATCAAATTCTGCATCTGTAGGAATGGCTGCCAATGGGTATGTGTCTTGGTCATTATTTGAGCACCGAGGCCCCCTGTCTTGTAACTGTAACTGAGGTTACATACCAGAAAATATTTTTTTCTGCTTTCTAGGTGCCCCATGTATGTTTCCAAAGGATCGTGGAGTAGAGTTCACTACTTCAGTTTTCTTTCTTCCTTTCTTTTTTAGAAGATTTATTTACTTACTGGGGTACAGGCCAGAGATGTGGTGGGTGAGAGGATTCACTAGAGACAGAGTAGGGAGCAGAAAAGGCAGATGGACAAAGTACACTGCTGAGGGGAGCAGCGGGCGGGTCAGGAGAGGTCTGCCACGCCATGTGGGTCAGCTCCCTGGCTTCAGAGAGCTTCCTAATATGGTGCTTTAACCCTTTGTGCCACCAGGGAGAGTCCCACTTCAGCTTTTTACCTCAACCTCACCACAATGTGGCCATCTCAACAGCCTCCAGCATCTGTAGAACCTGTAAATGTCGGGAGAGGTGAACAAGCTTCTACCAACCAGGGCGGCCATTTTCTTCCATTCTCGACCAGTAAGTGGGGCCCTGTGGTCTGGGATTAGATCCCGTTTCCTCTGCTGTTCTGCAGTCTGCTCTCTGCCCTAACTTGGAAAACTCCAGTTTCTCTCCATGTTATGTGTAGGCATGGGAGACTATCTGCCAGGAGAATAACTGATGAGTAAAGAAATTCCATTTAATTAAGAGTTACGATATATTTTAAAACTGGAAGTTTCTTACTGGAAGTAATTAGTTGATTGAGAAATTCGTAGCTATTCCCAACTGTGAGACTCAAATGAAAGGACAGTTAAGCTAAGGTCTCTGAATAAAATTTGATTGAATCTCATTATCCTTATGTTATTGATTTAGTGATAAATTGCATGGACAGACACAATTTCAGCCCTTTCAAGAACAGTCGTTGCTCAAAGAGTCAGCTGAGAAAATACAAAACTCAAGTATCCTTCTGTATCTGTTTCTAAATCACATAAGGAAAAACCAACTGTCACCAAGGTCAAGGGTCATCCTATGTCCATGGTGCGCTTTCTGAGAATAGTCTGAAATATGTTTTCTGATACATTCAGGTCTTCTGTTCATGGCCAGGGCCCAAAGAAAAGCCCAAAAATAAACATCTCTTGAAATTTAGCTTTTAATGGACTTTCAAATTTGGGTTTTGACCTGGCTATGAAAGAACATTGTTTTGGGAAGATACTCTGTTAAATAACCAAATTCAGTATTTTGAAAATACAAGTTTATATTTCTGAATCATATACAGTGTTGTAAACCAATGTTACCTTGGTTTAAAAAATATCTTAAAAAATTAAGTAACGATTGACTTTACTCAAATTCTGGATTGCTTAAAAAAATAAAAAGAAAGATTTAGGCTGATTTCATACCTCCAGGGTAGTCTATCTACTCATCTATTCGGCAACCAATTACATACTTTCTGAATCCTGAGCATTTGTAAAAAGGGTAAGGTTAATCAAAGGAGTCCCGTAACTTGATTAGAAATCACTTGTCTGTAAATAAAAGATTACACATTCAAGATGCCCAACAGCTCTGCAAAACAGAGACAAGTGCATGAGTATGCCACTAATAATAATATGCCTATAATAATAATAATAAGCAGTAATAATAAAAATGGTCTTAACAAAGCCAGTTCAGAAATTCAGTGATTCATTGAGGACACATAAAAGAAAGATTAATTTCTTGATCACTAGATTTTCTTCTGTTCATCTGGACTATGATTCTACAAAATAAATATGTGGAAGAGCTACAAGTGAACCAAACAAAAAAAAAAAGTAAAATATTCAAAGTAAAATCAGTATTTATAATTAAGATCAGTTGTTAACAGTATTTTAAAGTCAAGTCAGTATTTATGCTTATAAGGTATTTCACATGTATGAAATATAGACATGGAATATATTTATTTATAATTCTCATAAGCAACTGAATTTATGTGGATTCATAAAACTTTAAGACTGATATTATCTTAGTGACTATAACTAATGATTCTTTTTCCCTATAAATTCTTTCCATAGCAATAAATATCTGAAAATCCTTCAGAAGTTGTTCTATATTTCAACTATTTTTTGCAAATATGTTATACTATTTATCAGTATATTTTTAATGTGCTATAGTAATGATTGAAATATAATATTTTAGAAGACAAAATTTATTATTATCATTATTATTATACAGTGATAATCTAGAGGTCTAAAGTGTTACTTTGCAAGAAAATATTTTATGGGGAAATTAAAATTATGACAGCTTTGAAGATACTTATCCATTAAGATATAGTTTAAGATCCTCCTGTATATCACAGTAAATAAGTAATGCAGAACCCACACTGCATTTTGTGGCACATTGTTTGAAATTCTTACATTATGATGCACTCAAAAAATAATTAAATTATGCAAGCATTATTGTGTCAATTTACCAAATTCAGAATCAAGTCTTCTTGGGGTTAAATCTCCTCCAGCTAACAGTGTTGTCATTCTCTCTGGCTAGATTTTTTTCATCTGTAATACAGGGTTGATTATAACAGCACCCTGTCTACAGGATAGCTCTGAACATTGAATTGATCTATACAAAGTACTGAGAACCACACATTGAATAATGGCTTTCGACTGAAAACTAGGAACCATGTTAAATGGAAGTTTGGTTGCACTTTTTGTTTCTAAATTAGATCCTGAAGTATTACAGGGCATTTTGATTTGCCAAGTAGAAGTTTTAGGTAGATAATGGTAATTTGAAATGTAGTGAACATCTCGTGGAAAATTTGCAGAAATACTATTTTTATCTTTATTAACCCACATTTTGCAGAAATACTATTTTTAACTTTATTAACCCACATTCAATATTGATGCATATTTATATTTGTCTTTAACTATCCCTTCTGCTTCTTTCTGTACTATATCTATGCAGATATCTATATATCTCTATACAAACATCAGATTTGGTTGGGTGCACAGGCTCTGATCTATGACATCAAGTATAGCTGCTCACATGTCCAGCACCAACTACCAGGCAGTACACCAGCTCCTTCATGGGATGCTCCTAATAGCAAATTTAGGAATTCAGTGTTGTTACTAACATTTGCTTAATTTTATAGATGTGGACAATGAGACAAACACATATTAAGTGATTTCAACAGAATTAAAGGCTAATAAGTAGCAGAGCTCTAATTCAGGCCCAGAAGTTCTGTCTTCAGAGCTTCGCAGGACCTGCTGTTCCCATAATATACAGCCAGTAGTCGCCTTACACACATACCAAACATTCTACAACTAACGCAACTATCGGGGTTTATGTGGTTTATGTTTTTTTTTTTTTTTTTTCACAAGGAACTTGGGGGATGACTAATCAACATGCTCAGGGATGGGAAATTGCAATCATTATAGTTACATTTTTCTTAGGTTAAATCTAATAAGCACCAGATTGTCATTTGCCCATACTAGGTATCTGGGCAAAGACCGAATTTAGTGAAAATAAAAATGCACAACCCAATGTATCAGCTAAAATAACATCTACAGGGGACCTCCCCAGTGGCACAATGGGTTAAAGCACAGCACTATGAAGCTTGCCGCAGCTGCTTCAGCACGAGTTCAATCCCCCATCAGGGAGGTGACCCACATGGCGTGGCAGACCTCTCCTGTCTCCCTGCTGCTCCCCTCAGCAGTGTACTTTGTCAATCTACCTGTTCTGCTCCCCACTCTGTCTCTGGTGAAGCCTCTCACCAACCACACCTCTGCCTGTACCCTAGTTCTCTAAGCATAAACAAACAAATCTTTAAAATAATAAATAAAACAACATCTAGAATATAACTTTCATCTTTTGTTGTATAAGGCAGTATAGGATTGCTAGAAACTACATTAAAATGACCAATAAAAAAAAGAAAGAACAACATTCATCTAATTGAACTAAGTTTTAAATGCTTCTCTTTTCTGTGTTTCATAATTTGTTTAGTTTTTGATTTCCTTCATGCTTTCAGGTTATTTCTAACACAGGAGCCTACTCCCCTATCTC